CTGTTGTTATCCTTAGGATGACTTTTTTTTGCTTCTCCATCCTATAATTTACAGCAGAGATTTTAGCATAATGGAAAGAAAAATGAACAAGAGATAAACAAATTCGGAAATTCTAAATTTATAACCTTGATCGTGTATCTGAAATTCTAAAGATATGTTGTTTTCATATATTTTGGTGTTTAATTGAATTTTATGTGGCGTAAATGCGAATAATATGATATTTAATAAATAATATTAACATATAAAAAGTTAACAATTGGAATGCCAAAAATTGTTTTTTTTTTAGCCATCTTATTAAGAAAACTGAATATTGATATAATGAACTGAGAAAAGAGTAAAAACAAATAGAAAAATGTATGCCAACGCTTAATACAGTAATCGGGAATTCTAAACATAGCTGCTATGCAGCTTTTAAAAATTCTGTGATTTTGTTGTTGAACTGTATATGGCATAAGTTCGAAGAAAACGATTTTTAATAATAAAATTAAAAAGACAAATAAATAAATAAATAAAGTTTAGCAGGAGTGAGTACAAGAGCAGCCTGGTAGACTGCGAGCTCAGTGAGAGCGTTAACAAACCCTTGGTGAAACCTTTCAGATTTATTTTGTTTTATTTTACTTATTTATTTTAATATGGAGATCGGTAATCCCACCAAGTCGATTAATTGGGCCTGCCCGCAATCAGTTCAATAATCGACAAAGCTGAAGAACAGTTAAAAAAGAAAAGAAAAGAAACATTATTAAGATCACTTTTATGAACATTTTCGACAATTTAATTAATATCGTTAAACTTTTACAACAGATTTCCAAGTCATCTGAGACTAATAGCTAGAAAATGATTGCAAAATAAGAGCTTTGCTAATAATAAACACAATTTATAACAATCTAATACTTAATAAAAAAATTTTGGGGAGTCTTTACTACTTTTAGGGGAAAATATTTTTTTAGCAAAATTTTTGTTTATTAATTTACTGTTACATAAACTATTCGAGATAATATTTTCTACATCGTCATTATCAGCAATCACAATAAACTTACAAGGAATTACATCCGCATTCAGTATGTGCTAAATTTATATAGATTACATTTTCATTATTTGGATATGATAACTTTACATAGAGAATATTATCATTTAGATAAGATAAATTTAAGTAAACTACACTCTCATTTCAATTGCAATAACTATACTACATGCATCATATTCAGTATCATATAAATCATTAAATTTCAGAAAATATTTTAATTTCGCACAAAAAATTAATAATTCTTCTCAAGTTAATTCAGTTAGTATAATAAATGGCTATAAAAAAGAAGTGAAGATTTTAAAACATTTTTTGAGCATGAGTTTTAAAGTTATACATCATTGAAGGTGTAAATATATATTATTGTGTAATAATATTATATAATACATGATGTGTATGTACGCAATGTGTGTATACAAAATGTATGCACTTATATTAAGCATATACTGAATGTATCAATACACACTACAGTAATAAAAAGAGTCATCTCAAACATATTATTTATACTTTTTTCCTATATTTTACAAGCATTACATTATATCATTCATGTAATGAACACTATGAAATGGTCCACACCCTATTTTGCCCTATGCACCCTTTTCACTATTGCTTGAAGATATCACCCTCCTTTCCAAAATTCGAAAAATACGTATTCACATTTATTTAGATTTAGATTACTTTTTTAACGTGTTTTATAAATTCAACAACAAAATGTACAGGGAACGTTAATAAATACCAAAACTTGAATAAAACTAGCTTTTTATATTCATAAACTAAATGCTTGACAGCTAAATAAAAGTCTCACTTCATGCCCCCTGAAGCTATTACATTCTCTCCCGGGAGGGGGAGGGCAAATTCCACCCTGGTTGAGAACCCCAGTTATGTAATAAAGGGTGGTACAAAATTGCTGAACACATTTCATGTTTGGGGGGGGGAAGAACAAAATGAGATGCGTACCTGTTTCTTGTTTTCTTGGATTGACAATTTAAAACAGTTTTACACAATAAAATTTTAAACATTAAATAACTTTCACATGAGGTCTATTTGTGGCACGCAATTCAAATGTGAAATGGGATCAATAATTTTGGACCAACTTGTATATCGATCACAAAAGTTTTTAATAATAATTATTCTGCATATTATTGTCTACATCAAAAATAAAATAAAATGTCTTTGATGATATTTTATAATAATACATTGTTTGAAATTCTTTATTTATATACATAGTTTTTAATTTTGTTCATAAAGTAATGCACTTTTCAATTTTTTGATATTTTCCTCTGTAGACCAATTCACTTTCAAAAAAAGAAATGCAGAAAAAACGCCGAAATTTTCGAAGGAAAAAATATCCCTCCCCACCGATATGAGTTTTAATTTTATTTAACAGCAAAGATTTAACTAGGAAGTAAACAATAATAAGAAGTAATAATGCTATTTTTGGAACCCTCGTGTGAACCTTCTTCATGTATCAAGAGCAATCTAGTTTTGTAACATTAAAAACTATTGGATTCCTAAGTAGATTAACTGTAAAACTAATCTGTTGCTATAAATCATAACAATATCCTGTACCACATTTTCGCAGAGGAGTAAAATTTTCTGAAAACTTGCATATTTTTATTTTTGTATTTTTCTTTTCCGAGAAATTCCGATATTTTTTTAACTTTAATCGTGCGATTGAATGTTTTAATTCTGCACTTTTTATTTTTCTTTTTATTCGTCCTATGTATGTATAAAATACTCCTCCGTATTAGTTATTTTAACAGATATTTGTAACATTTTCTTTGACAACATTGCGTAAAATTTAGTACATACAGCAGTGACATTCGATTATCATTGCGTAACTGCGTATTTACGTCTAGACAGTCTTTTCAAAGTGTGTCCCTGTGTTTCTGACAGATAGATCTTGCTGACTTTATATAAGATAAATCTTTTTTTTGGTGCAAAATCCTCTTTTTCTAAGTAAATAAATGAATAAAATTGAATTATGTTAGAACGCTTGCACAGTTAATACGAATGGCTTACGCCATGTTTATTTCCTCTTTGGAAAAATGTGTTAAGGCAGACTTCTAAATATAAGGAAAGCACTAACAACTTCTCTGTTTCTAAATGACTGTTTGGTAACTATTACTGCCAATAATTCTGCAACGCATAGCAGATTTTTCGTATTTACTATGCGCAAATTAAAGAGAAATTTATAAATTAATGATTAAAATGTTATTTTGAAACGCTGCATAATATTTTCAAGCTCTTTTCTGCTACTTGTTCAGATTCTTTACTCACACATTTCATTACTATTGAAGCTTCTAGAAAGTTTGTGATTGCCAATCACATTATTTTTGCGGAAAATAATCAAACATCAGGAATATTTCTAGATCCTAAAGAAATTACAGAAAACTATCGAAAAAAAAAGTATAGATTAAAATAATAAGAAGTTATCAGTATCTTTCAAAATTCGTTAAAAAATTACTTGAAATCACGCTTAGACCGTAAAAAATAGAAATATAACACAAAACTATTTTACACTAAAATCCAAAGAATCATGTTTGCCAGATTACCCTTTTCGCATTTTTGTATAATTTTTAAGGATTATATGCATAATAAAACCAAGTAAATCTGGCTGCTTGATACTGAGAAAAATTTACTAACAGCATTTTAGTAAAGGCAGCTTTCGCATCTAAAATAATATAGGCATTTGAGTATATATCCTAACGAAGTAAACACATTTTTCTTTTTTACTGCCATCATTTCAAGAGGTAATTTTTTAAAGGGTGTGTGTGTGGAAGGGAAAACCTTTTTTTTTTTTTTTTGTTTTTTTCAGTAAACAGTTAACATTGGTGCGATCAAAACATTTCATAATTTTTGATCTATTTAAAAATTAGAAATCACTTACCACATTTTAAAGAGAATTCACTCTTCTGTGTTTATATTCCATGAGAACTAATGTTATATGCATTTTCGAAGGCTTTACGATTTAAATAATTGCTCACTGAGAACACCACAGGGGTTAAGATTAACATGTAAAGCAAGTGCAGGATAGTAACACTTACAAAGAAGCAAATTTAGAATGTTAAAAAGAAAAACAGACATGAAAAATATTTTGATTTTTCTTTTTTAACTCTCTCTTTCACTTTAGAATAAAAGTCACAAAAGTGATCTTTAAACGTTGTATTTTTGCAACATTTTACGTAATATTAGAAAATTTTACATTACTTTGTAGGTAATATTAGAAAATTTTACATTACTTTGTAGGTAATATTACAGAAATACTGAAGAATAATCTAAAAAAAAAAAAAAAAAAAAAAAAAACAGGTATAATATTAATTTGGTTTATGCTTGTTATTAGATGGAAACTGCTTTGAATCAATGCGACGTTAGGAATGTTTTCAAAAAGCGGTTATAATTCTTATTACGCTATAGTAGTTAATGTTCTTTTTTTTTTTTTTTTTTTTTTTTCTTAACAATAATAAATGAATTCATTCATAACTTAAAAGTCTGGTATGCTCATCTGATCGCTGACCGACTATTTTTACATTTTTGATGTATTATGTGCGCATTTGATATGCTTACGATCAAATAATTATTCATGTTTTCGCTGCGCTGGAATAAAAAAGTTAATGTTTGATTACTCAGCGCAGTTCTGCTGTTATTTATGTATTTCAACGTTTTTTAGTTTTTTATATAAATCACTCGAGAAATGGCAAATCTAAATCGTGATTTATTTATTGCTAAGCCTCGTTTTTAGTTTTTACCGTTCTTTTTTTTATCGTTTGGCGTTTTGGTTTTTAGATTTTTTTTTTCGTGTTTTTATTAACACCACCGATGCAAAGTTAAGGAACCAATCACAGTATTTTTCGTAAGTATATCTGCACTAACAGAGGATTTTTCGTATGTTAAGAGCATTGTGGTTGGACGGTTGGGTAGCAAAAGAGTGCAACCAGCAGAGAAATAACATAAGCTTAAATAGTATAGTGTTCCTTACCTTTGTGTTAGTGAGGTCCACCACCACCCATGAAAACAGGACAATCTCTTGCTCATCGCTGCCAAGGGAATCTTCGTGTTGCCCTGCTGTCACCGTATAAACCCCCACCAGATACCTTGCCATCACCAAACCGAAATCAGTTAAATTAATAATTATGTAAACAACTACGAAAAAATGCGCATCCGTCACCCCGGCGTTTACCCGGGTACCGCCACAGTGTCAAAGAAAGGGGGATAGGAAAATAAATAAATACACGTATATGCGGACCGAACCAACAACCAAACACACAGACACCAAACAACCTATACCGCAACCTGAACACTGTGGATGCTCGATGTTTGATTCAGCGACTGCCCGCCAGGTAAGTTGGGTGTTTTTTCCCTATTCCGAAAGGAAAAGTTCCCTAGCGGTATTTTTGGCGACTATCTACCTGTAGCGTTTCTTTTTATTTTTGTACGAGTACCGTAGAAACCTGTTGCGTGTATTCATGTTGTTGAAGCACTTTTTTCCTCGACGGTAGCAATATCTGCAGGGTTTAGAACTCTCGAATTCTTACGAAATGGTTTTTTGAATGTCTATTCTTTTCACGTTAGAGTCGATACTGTTCAGTTTTTATGCACTGTTTTTATTTACTCGTAACTTATATGAAAAAAATGGTAATTCGAAAGTTTTTTTTTTTTTTTTGGATATTTCATGAACTAAATGCATGTATTTTTTTTTTTTTTTTTTTTCACATGTATTTCTTTTATACGATTTCGATTTAATGCAACTTGGACAAAACTCATATTTTCTTTGCACTTGATTCATTTTTGATAGAATAAGATTGAAGCGACACTTTTTTTAAAAATCTCACTTTGAATTTAAACCTTAAATACATAAACCTTAACCTTAAATACCTACTCAATAAAATTTTGAAATTTTCATTTATAATTCAATGATTAGATGCATCTTGCTAGTTTGGCTTTGAAAAGGAGTTAGATTTTATAATTTGTGCTTTGAATTCTCAAAACTGAAAACAATATTTAAAAAAAAAAAAAAATCTGAAAAGTTTCAGATTTTAATTTACGTCCTGAGGGGCGTTTTTTTTAACATTTTGTGTGTTACCTTTATTTATTAAATATCATGTTCTTTGCACCTTGAATATTCTCCTTTGTCTTTCTTTTCCAGTTAAACATTTTTACAATGGACTCATAGAAACACAAACGCATACGCGTAGTATAATTAAATATTAACAATTAATTGAGCTATTACAATTAATTAAAATGTGTTTTCTGAATAAAATTCTGAAGAATTCAGAAATCCTGGGATTTAAGTTGCGTTGAGTGTGTGATTCCTGAACGAAAGGAGATGAGTTGTTAAATGCGGCTTAATAATATTGCAAGGTATATATAAAAAAGGTATATATATATAAAAAAAAAATAACTCATTTAGTATAATTTTATGAAGCGATTCAATCGAAAACAACGATATTCATCATAAAACACCTAAAATAATTTGTATTATGTATCATTAAATTCAAAAAATCATCACGCACTGTGGATGAAAGAAGAAACTGCCATCAGTTGGGAAATAGGACCACAGTCCTTGTGATGTTAATGGATGTAATATCTGTTATGAACTTGTGATATATCTTGTGATGTAATATCTGTTATGAACAAGTGCGTGACTGCATGTGGTTTTGAGCACCAGATTTTCATAAAAATCTAAAGATGAACCGTTAAATGTGATTTTTCGTTTCTTTTTCCACTTTGCATATTACCTCAAAATAAAACAAATACATAGTTTAAAAAACTTCTTCAAAATATTATCCAACTTTAAGAAGTTATAAAATTTAAAATGTATTCCCTAAGAAGGGCAACTAGTATTAAACTGTCCCCAAACAGTATCAAGTTCCTGCGTTTTAACAATGGCAAGGAATATTTTAACTTCATAGAAATGTAATGTAAACCAAATCGGAGGGGGGGGGGAATGAATAAATAATGTTAGTAAATTTGAAAAGCTGGAACCTCCATTTTGAAGTTCTAGAGGAAACAAAAAAAAGCAGAAAAGAAATTAAACAATAAAAACAGACCTGAGTGCATTAAATTAAATTGCAATAAATTAAAAAAAAATCAAATTAAATTAATGCTCCCTTCCCTTTCTGCAAAAACTATAACAGATCATTACCAAATCAAATACTGAAAATGTTTTATAAAGTAAAGAGAAACGCAATTCATATTCAGTTTTTGCTTTCTTGTTGATATTAACTGGACAGAATGTCATATTTTATTATCAATACTATTATGAAACCAATTTATATTTTCTAATTAATGTTATAATGCAACTGTACATAACAGCAAAATTCAAAACGTATTAAAGCTTAAATTGTTAAGTAATTTTATAGCAGATAACTGAATAATTAATTTTTTCGGGGGTCATTTTAAGTAAACACTAAATTGTTATTTTAGCAAAAGTTTTTGCTAATATTTATTTTAGTAGAATTCGGAGTAAGTTAAGTATTTAATAATTTTTATTTTAGAAGAAGTCAAAGTAGAAAATATATTTAAGGTTTGACAAAATAAAAGTTTAAAATAAAACAAGGAAAGAAAATAATGTTAAATAAATGAAATTAAAATGATAATAATAAATGAAATCAAAAATAAATTGTTTCATTTTAACGACATTTAGTTGCCTATTTATGTATCGAAATTTGGTTGCTTTTTATCTCCGCATAAAGTAAAGTGACTTTTGTAATATTTATTCCAATATAATTTGAAGTATTTATTCCCATATATAATTTGTGTGTAATTGTTCGCAGAATAATTTAATTTTTGTCCCCGAGTAATTTTTATTCCTTTACACCTAGTTTTTATCAGGTAGGTTCAAGAACAGGTTCATACGTAAACGTTAGAACAACACAGACTTCAAACCACCGCTTAGAACTTAGTTATGGTTGCCAGTATTAATAGACGCATAATTATGAGATTGCAGATAATACATTTAATACAATTAATAGATTCTATTAAGATCTGTGTATTCCTTTGGAAATGAAATCATTTCAGCAATACTTAAATTGATTTATATATTTTATAAATACCTACAATTTGCAAAGTTTACGATTTGTAAAATATCGCAATGCGGCCTCTCAGTTATCGTTAAATTAGTATTTAATTGTAACACCGTTAGAACCAAATCTACTTTCCTCGGGTTTTGCTTCATGACAATAATTTATGCAGCTCATTCGAAGAAATAAAAAAGCTAAAGGGGAAATACGTCTGAACAAAAAATCCCTAGCTGAGGATAAAAAATTCCCCTTCTGAAGAGTGGAAAACTAGAGTTGTAGTGCTGCGTCCTCATTGGAGGAGAGAAACTTTTTAGAATCAAACGTGGCACTTGCGCGGAGAGCAGTGCGAGCACAGGTAGGTAGAAATTTTGCCCCCTCCCTCTTCCAACCCCTCTCCTTCGTTCCATCTTGCTTTTCATTCTTCCTCACCTGGCTGTCTCGATCGTTCACTCGCTTTTTCTTTTTTTTTTTCTTTTTCTTTGGATGCGAGAAAGGGAAAGGAGGAGGAGGGAACACCAGTTGCCGGTAGAAGTTTCAGAACTTTTCTGAACTACGGAGGGGTCATATATATATTGTGTTTTGCTATTAACATATCTGCCAGAACTGGATTTCTTTCACGAAATCCATTTTCTTGGGATCCCTGCATGTTTCATGTAGAAATGTGTTTTAATTTCATTCCTTGTTCCCCCCTTTTTTTTCAACATCGCGTGACAGGTGTAGTCTTTTGTAAGAATTTTTATTTATCAGCCATACAGCTTGGCAAAATTCAGAAGAGTTGCTGTTCCTTAAGGTTATCCATACGATCCTCCATATGATCTTTCATTTATGCAACTTAGCAAAACACAAACATGTTGCCATTCAATGTTAAATATGATCTTCAATTTGTCTGAATTTTATTTTAAATAATATCTTTTGCTACTGCTGTTTATTATACCACATTGACTCGCGTATTTCCCCTAGATTTGTTAGAGTATGTGGGGCTTAATTTAAGCAGAGGCAGGCAGGGCCTCTTGTTCCAGGCCTCTACTTTCACGAGCAGCGCAAATCATTCCATGATATTTTTTAATACATAGAGGTTAGAAAAATATTTTAAGAACCCTTACGATTCTTTTTACCCAGTTTCTTAAAAATAAATAAATAAATAAATAAAAATAATAATAAAAAAATCTGAAAGATTTTATATTACGCCCAAACGGCACCCCCCTTTTTTTTTGAACGTTTTGTGTGTTACCTTTAACAACATTATGTTTTTCGCCCTTAAACCATAAAATGCAGTTCAACAGCAATATCACAAAATAATTTAAAAAGAGCATATCATTAGATTTTCCGATACACAATCTCGTGCGCTGGAGATATTTCTACCCCCCGTACAGTGTTGCCATTGCTTGCTTTGAAATCATTGAGTTTCTTAATCAAAAATTCGTTAAAGTTTTACAAAATATGAAATAGATCATTAAAACAGATTCCAAATTCCAAACTTGGGCTTCCAGATGCTCATATTCGAGGGGAAAACGTACGTTATTCAGAATTGGATGGCTCTAGGTAACCTTGTTATATCACAATGCGAGAAACATACATACATTTATGCAGATTTTTTATTATTTAATTTCTTTAAATATAATACAGGGCGGTAATATTTGGTAACAACAATTTGAAAAGTGATACGCCGTTTATAGTGATTAGAAGCAAAATGCCGAAACGGCATTCATAACAGCCCTTCTGAACTAACACCCTTTGAGCTAAAAAAAGTAGAACAAGAAGAAGAAAAAGACAGATAGCCTTTGTGGGTTATGACTTTAATCAATTAATCTATGCAATTAAAATGCATAAACGTATATTTTACACGAAACATAATACACTAAAACCGTACAACAAAATAAAAAAGCTTTTAATTAAATTTAAATTAAATTTTTTGCATTTAAATTATTTTTTAATTTAAAATTTTTAAGTTTTAATTTAAAGTTTTTTGGAATAACTTTAAATTAAAAAATATAGATTTACTGGGCTATAGTTTAGTTAGTTATGAATTTTCAGTGCGCTCCAAGATGTTTTTATTCTCCGAAAGTCCTAACGGTGCTCTTCGATCATCTTGCAGAACGCCACAACTAAAGTTAAGTTGCAGGCAGTAATCAAGTGAGTCATAGCCAAATGGAAACAGACAGGTATAGATGTGCAAACAAAACTAAAAATTTTAGAAGTAGACTGTATTTTACTGAAGAAAAGTACAGCTGCCGAAAAGTATGGAATTGCCAATTCTACTTTATTCACAATACTTATAGATCGTGAAAAAA